TCCTTCTCCAAGATTCTGAAACAGTRAAAGGATCATTATTTCCCTCTCCAGATCTGGTTTTATCCCTTCTCCCTTTGTTTAATGTCAAGGCTGGAGATAATTGCTCCTTGAATCTGGAAAACAAGCCATTGTGGGAATCCCAGTGTGGAATCTAACTTAAGGGTCCCACTTAACAGGTCAAACTTTGCCCTGGTAAGTGAAAACTCGTGGGTTTTTAACAATTAAGACAGGATAAAAAGCATAAAGTAACTCTGCCTACTCAGTATCATGGGCAGTGTTTATCAAACAAAAGCAAACTTCAGTAATCATGCAGAATTCACTCTGCTGCAGTGCATTTCAGGTAAATTCTTTTATGTCTTTGTATCTGACATGGTAGCATTTGCTGCTGAAGGATTTTCACAGAGTTTCTTATTTATTTATTGCAAGTTGAAATAGTCTGGAAGTAAAAAAAATCCATTTTTTCTTAGATGAACTCAAATAATTTTCATCAAACAACAACATTCCTTACTGAATTAGTTCCTTGCAGGAACACCCCATGTCTGTTCCACCCAAACATTTTTAGGTTCAGAGTTCTGAAACTTCCATTTGGCACCGACTTCTTCTTAATGACTGAAAAGAGAGAACGGGGAAAAGAAAACACAGAAAGCATTTCTTCCGATACAAGTTATGAGATATAAAGTGAGTAATGTCTTATGAGGAAACCAGCAGAGTGTTTTTTCAGTGTTTTTTATTRGCAGCAAAGGGATGAGTTCCATTCGGGTTTACCTGGCAGGGTGCAGAATGTTGCAACACTATTGAACCACTCGCCCTGTGCAGCCTGGAAAAGTTCCCTCTSTGGACACAGGCCAGGCTTTCTCCATCCTTTCTCCACCATAAGCATGTTCCTTTTCTTRTGAAATTTGTGCAATTCTTACACCATATTTATTTCCAGTCTTCCAGGCCCGACTAAAGCTCCTCTAGCATTAAGGACGGGAATATTTTCTATGTTGATTTGTCAGTGTATCACAACAAAGTATCACCCGACTGACACATGGAACAAAAGAAAAATCGTTCAGCTCCTCAACTGCAAATTGGTGCTCTAGATTGTCCTTTCAGAGCTGCAGTTTCACTTGCRGATAAATAAGTGAAATACTTTTACTGCATCCAGTTTCTCTTTTACTGATTAGGGAGGAATAGTGTAACTTGGATCCCGGTTTTAGAAGTCTAATGGGGCATGAAATAAATAGCTCTCATGACAGCACAGAACGGAAAAAAAAGATAGATGATTATTAAACTGTGTGTAAAAGTCATCTTTATTGCCCTGTTGTTGTTTTGGCTTCATTCTGAGATGTGGGAATGCTACAGAAAAGCCTAAGCGTGTTTCTTGGCAGCTCTTCTTAAGCAGTGAGCCCCGTGGAAAGCCCCGTGAAATTTATGATTCTGTTGAAAAACAAGACCAGGAAAATGTCACATGAGGCAAAAAAAAAAAAAATGCTGTGTTTTTTTTAAGACAATGAACAATGCCAGTGAAAGGGACCAGGGAGGTAGTTTTGTAGTTTTGAAGGGGCAGAATACCTTGGCTATTGTTTGGGGTTTTTTTCCTCTCTCTTTTTTCCTTTTTGTTTTTTTTT